ACTAATCCATTTTTTGATTGTTGTATACTGTCTATATAAAATATATTTTATATAAACTAAAAGAATTTCGCAGCAATTCACAAATTTACAAAGACACTGAATTTAACCATTCTAATATCTTAAGGAAATCGAAAACCATCTAAGTTATGATGGATGAATACATCTTTTTAAATGAAAAATAAAAATACATTGTACAAGCAAAGAAAAAAGTATAAAAAATAAAAATTCGTTAAATCTAATAAATATTTTAAGGTGCAGACATAATCAAAGGGTTTGAATTATAGGAACATGATGGACAGGGAGACTCACCAGCTCGTCGGCACAGGGATCGGACCAGTAGTGGTCGGCAGTCTTGGCCCGGGTGAACTCGAGGGCGCAGGGACCCACCAGCAGGGAGCTCAGGATGGATCCGTAGTCCGGGTCGGCGACCAGCGCCTCGCGATCGTAATAGCTGCTGGCGTTGCTCACCAGGTGCTCGATGATCTTGGCCAGCCGCTTCTCGTGCAGGGCCAGCCGGATCCACAGGTACTTTCCCAGTGGGGCTATAGAACCGCCCCCTCCGCCACCTCCGCCAGTGCCCGTTGCCGCTCCATTGGACACCGTATTGATGGTGGTCACCGAGTTGCTGCTCCCACTGCTCTTGCTGAGAAGCTTCGGCTTGATGATACTGTCGCTGGAGGAGGAGGAGCGCTTCCCGCTCACCGCATGCGACTCCTGGGCCAGCTCCAGCTCGAGGAGCCGCCGGCTCACGTAGTCCGCCTCCGGGCAGATCTTGGCTATCTTCTGGATCAGCGCCGTCGTCGAGGAGGTCTTGAACAGGCCAAGAGCCCTCCGGCGCAGGCCGTGACTCAGGCAGGCCTCCACCGCGCCGCACAGCGAGGTCACCGAGCTGCTCTCCTCGTGGACGTACTTCTTGGTCACCGCCTCCTCCATTAATTGCTTAACCTCCTTCTTCACGCTGGCTATCAGCCGCTCCTTCAGCTCGGTCTCCGCTGAAAGCGTGAAGATTGGGGAAAACCATATATCGTTATAGGAAGGTATAGAATAATAAATGTATCTTGTATTTAACGAATGTAACTAGTTTGTTTCATTTTAACGCAAGTAACTGCTGTAAGATCGGAAAATATAACATTTGATATTTTTAGCTATTCAAAAACATCATCAATATTTTTTAAGATAACTTCTTTATATGTCAAATAACTTTTATCATCTTAATATTATATAAACACACATACCACACCGTGCCCATCTATGTATATTATTTTTATTTTTCCGATATAATAAATACATCAAAAAAATATTTTTGAAAGTATTGATATTCCGCATGATTTATCTTGATTTGTATAATAAAAATCATCGAATAAGTGTTGTTCCTGATTTTTTAGAATAAAAATAGGCTCAAAGCTCTTAAGTTGTTCAAGTATAATTCGGAAAAATAAAGAATAAACAAAATAAGGCCGCAGGTTGACAAAAGGGAAGGTCCCCGTATTTGGGAGTTACTTATTTGCCTTCGTGTGGTTATTGATAATCCCTGAGCCTCTCCTAACGACCGACATGACACTTCCACGCCCATTTCCATTTTTTATTCCCCCACAGGGCACTCGTAACGGAGCCCCGATAAATATGCTTTGATTGATTGCACATGCCGGAGTGCCACCCCCCGGAGGAGCCCTTCCAATCCGCAGCCAAAGTACTGCCCCCAACTTGTCTGGGATTGCGTTTACGTTTGCTTTAGGAGTCCACCGACCGACGTCAATCATTTTGTCATCGCTGTCAATTTTTGTTTCGTTTGCTTCCGTGCACAAAATCGTCCCTATGCTCCAATGCCCCCATATACCATCATTTATTGGTACATAAATATTGGGCCGAACACAGTGCGTATGCGTAATAAGTAAACTTTTTCATCAAGAGATACCCAAAAAAATACAATAGATAAGTAACCGTCCTTAAAAAAATACAATACATGTAATTCTAAATTACCTTTCGTAAAAGACAATGGTAACTTAAAATGAATGCTTCACTGCACTTATTACTTCATAAATGTTGGTTCAAACAAACTTCCTAAGTAAGATATCCCTAAAGACCATACAATAAAACATGTTATTTTCAAGTCTTAATTTTAGAAGCAAAAAGTGATTTTAAATTAAATTGGGAAAGAAATAATAAGTTTGTTTAAAAATTTGTAGATAAAATAATCATTATTTTGTGTAATTATAAGTATTAAGAAATCCAAAAGCATATTTTCCATTTAAACAAGAATTGAACCTGAAATACTTGCTAACCTGTTGCACCTTAAAAAGGGTGTGGAGATAGAACCGGAACTACAACGTTTTATGGTGTTTTCTAAGAGTTCTGGAATTCTTAGACGCACCGTGCACGTATGTAAATGTTCCGGCATTGTTCTATATACAAATATGCTAATAGGATAGAACGACCACGAAGTGCGAAAGCCCAAGGAGGAAATGAAGAGAAAAGAAAACGAAGGGCAGGGCGTGCTTCTAATTAGAATGGAAATAAAGGATTTACGTCGCTACGTGACATGGCCGCCAATGTCCAGGACCCAGGATACAGGACCCAGGACTTGAGAACCGGAACCCGGGAGTCGGGACTGGGGACTCGGGACATCGGGGAACGAGCAGGACCAAAATCGATAAGGGAAACTTTTTAAGAAATTGCAACAGTTTTGTAAACACTGAAGAGCGGCAACGGTGCAGCCTCTGTAATCAATCACCCAAGGAATGCACAAAACTAGCCCTTTTTCAAAAGAAATTAAAAAGATTCATCCAATTTCACTTCAGTTTAAAAATATATTAAATGCAATTTTCAAAAATATGCTGTTAAAAAAATAAAAAAAAGCTTAAGCAAATAGCAAATATCACATATATTTTATTTTGAAAGCAATTCAAGATTTTACATTTTGAAATGTTTTCAATAAGATTCTAGGTACTCTAGTACAAAGTATGTTACCATTCTAAAATAATAAATCTTTTAGTTAGTTAGATTATCTCTTTATTTTTTAAGATTTTCTATCCATAGATAAAAACAAATTTTACATCCTATAACACTTTTTACATTCACGGGGCAATATTTGTTGGGTTCATAAAAATATTGCAACTTTCACTAAAGTTATTCCTTAAAATGTTTGAGATTTGGAAACTATTCATTTTTTGAATTTAACAACACTTTTCACATATTAACGGATCCAATACTTTTGCGTTTTTAAAAATATTGCAACTTTAAAATTTAAATTCCAGTGCTAAAAATATTTATGATATTACTAATGCTCACAAGTAATGGTTAGAAATAAATACACAAAGAGTTTTTAATTTTAAAATGGTAGGAAATTTTTGTTTGTTAAAATTCAGTGCTCTTAATTTACAAAAAAAGTTCAACATACCGAACTTTGCCTGTAGAAACCACATTGGAAATGCGTTAGAAGGCGGCAGGAAAAAGCGAAGTGCATTCGGGCACATCGACACATGCACTAAGTTGTTTATTTTCAATTCCCGCTGCAATTTGAGTGAAACATTGCGATAAACAGGGCTCCATGTGTGCGTGTGTGTGTGCGCACGTCTGTGCGTCTGTGTGCGGAGGTGCAGAGTGCCCGGTGCGGATGTGTGTGTGTACTAACCTTGACTTGATGCTAAAAAACTTCCTTGAATTCTAACCTACAACAACAGAGCGAGACGCGAGAGAGGTAAAGAGGGAAAGAGAGGGGGCGAGGGAGAGGGCAACACCTGCGACGCTACCAATACAAGTGCACACCAACAGGCACACGCACACACTTGACCCTGAACAACATAAAACAGCTGATGACAGGACGAAGGGCAGAATGGGATGGCAAATGAGACGCTGAAAGGCGATGACTCGCTCTCGCTCTCGCTCTCTCACTCTCGCTCCCTTTCCCTCTCTCTCTCACTTTACTCTCTTTTTTCAGAGAGGGATGGCAAATGAGTGTGCGTATGCTTCCTCTTTAATTTGCCAGTAACACAATAACAAAAACGACGACATGGGAGGGTCCCTCACACACACACACGCACGCACACACACATCATTAAATCCCATGCCAGGGCAGCCATATTGCTCAAACATATGTTTGTTACCGTTACCCAAGTAAAGACGCAACACACACGTTTGCCAGCATGTGTGTGTGTGCACAGGGGGAAAACGAAACAAATAAATAAAAACGGAATTTAATAAGGGGATGTCCTAGGGATTTTGGTCTTTCGCATAGTAAAACTAATTAATTTTAAAACAATAAAATATTATGGCTTATTCACAACCAGATATTAAACATGAAAGAATAAAAATGAATCTAACTTCAAGTATTACAAGTAAACTACTTTAAACAACGTGTTTATTTACTTTCACCCATTTGAGCAAATTCAACAGTGCGTATACGTCATAAACTATTACTCATACGCATGGTTGTCTTACATTGCCCTCCAAAGTATGCTATGATTTTTTGTACTTTTCCAATAATATGGCTTACTCACAAGCAGATATTAAACATTAAATAACAAAAATGAATCTAACTTCAAGGATTAGAAAATAACTATTTTAAACAACGTGTTTATTTACTTTCACCCATTTGGGCAAATGCAACAGTGCGTATAAGTCATAAATTATTACTCATACGCATGGTTGTCTCACATTCTTCGCCACCTTTATTGCATTTTGATTTAAATAATTAATTAGATTATTATTTATTCTTGTTAATTTCTTTGAGAATCCTGCAGCACTGCCTCGATATCCGTCCAAATGTGCAAGATTTCTCAAACAATTATAAACGACTTATGTGGGCAGTGCATTTTCGAACAGTGTCTGCGAAAGAGGGGAGTTTCCGAGCCACACCGAATGGTAAACGTGAGAAAAGAAACCCGGACATTGTGAGTGCTACTCTGATTACATTAATTGCCGGGCAATTTGATGACTTTCAAATGAGAGGGCAGCCTGTAAGAGGGGGCGTGGTCGACAGGAACTAACCGAGCGTAATCGCATCGAACGACGTAATGCAATTACCGGTTCCGTCCGGCACTAGGGGTCGTCATATATACGACATGTACACGCTCTATATGGCCAATTAGCTGCGCAGGAAGGTAAGGGCTGGCTGGCGAAGACAAACAGCAGATTAATGCCAAATTGACCTATTGGCCGTGAACTTTGCATTTGGCATGGTCAGGGTAATACCACTTAATTGGCAGTGGTCGGTAGTCGGTGGCATTAAAAACTGTCATTCAATCGATTCCAATTAGAGCAGCTTTACCTGCGATCCACCTGAGTGCAATCTGCTGTCCGGCAAACGATTTCCCTTTTGCCTTTTTAATTAATAACCGCCAATCGTGGTCGGAGATTTTCTCAATTTCCGGAATAAAGAATGGGTATAAATAATGCAGAAAGTAATTACCGGGGAAAATGACAAACGCAGGTTTTTCTTTGATGGCAATGAAGAAGGGCACATTAATTGAATGTAAGTCAATTAAAAACAGCTGCACAAAAGTCAAAGGGGTTGCTACATGTACCTCTACTTGCAGCTAACAAATTCACTTAACAAAGCGCTATTAATAAGTATACTGAATAATTCCAATTTGAACTGACGACAAACTTCTGTGATATATCACCACTCAAGTTAACTCAGTCGCAAAGTATTATTCAGAAAGTTCAAGTCCAAGGAGCTGGACTTGACACACATGTGTGTGTACATGTATTTTCGGATGTTTACCCATATTCCGGATTCCATACTCCATGTAACACCACCCTGTCGAGTTCATCGAAGCAATTACAAAAAGTTTCGCTTGCCTAAACATTCAATATACAGTGAAGCATTGGATGAGTGTTGTTGTCGAAAATTTAATAGTTAGAACTTAAGGATTTGTTTAAATTTCAAAATGTGTTTTAAAGACATGTTAGGCAATTATTATAAAATTATAAAGATGCATATTTAAGGAAAAAAGGAGAATTCGATCAAAATCAAATTGAAATAGATAAATAAATGAATAATAATTTATATTTCAAGATCCCTTCAAGATAAAATACGTATTAGAATATATGAGCATTTTCAGTGTTTCACTAAATGTGTGCCCACTGTACTCGTATCTTTTCTTCTCTTTGCTTTTTTGCTTTCTTTTCTTGCAGAAACGACGCCAAATCATTTCACTTTCGCACCTTCTACGCATCAACGATGAGAACAACAACAAAGCACACACACACAGACAAAGGTCCTGACATTTCGGCATTTGTATGTATGTGGTGTATGCATGATATGTAATTGGAATTTGCCACTGTTGTTGTTGCCAAAAGAACACTCAAACAAATCAGCGGCTTATTATTATTTCGAAACATAAATCAAGGTGAATTTTTACATTTACTCAAGTACTTTTCCTTATAATATTTGTATGCAAAATTGGAAGTTTCCACGCTTGAAAATTAGTAAGTAAATAAACTGATAGATGGGTAGAGTGTCTGTATCCATCCCTCATGTTATTTATTATTTGAATCCGAAAGTACAACAAAATAAAATTTGCACCACACTTTCGACACTTGTTTGCATTTACACTGGTTCTGATAAGATGGAAAACATCGATTTCATATTATTTTAAACGTATTGAGTTAATCCCTAGATCACATTTATTTTTCGCTCTGTGTAAAGTAAGGGAAAGAGAGGGGGCGAGGACAATAAATGTTTCTCACTCACCGCTGCTGGCGTCGCCCGCGGCGTTGGCAGCGCTGCCGCCGCTGAAACTGTGTAGCATGTTCATTTGTATTGGTGGATGATGGACCCTCTGCTCTCTCTTTCGCTCGTTCGCTCCTGGTTCTTTTTGTGGTATATTTCTTTGGGGCAAATTGCTTCTCTCTCTGCCAGCTGCTTGTTTCCTCTTGCTTTTCTTCTTTTGTGTTTCCTTTATTTTTCTTTGTTTCTCTCCACCTTCTTCTTCCTTCTTTTTTTGTTAACAAAAATTGTGGTATCAAAAATTTTCTTAGATTCGTTGTCTCATGTTTTGTTGGTTTTTTTGTGTGTCGCAGTTGTTGTTTGCTACATTTTTACTACTACGCACGCACACACACCCGCATACGCACACACACTTATATAACAATAACAGAGTGTGTGTGTGATGATGCTGCTGCTATGTTGTTGCTGTCGTTTCCTTTTGGTAGTAGTTATTCACATTTTTGCTGCATACTTTTTGGCTGCTCCGTTCTCTCTTGCGTTTTGGTGTCTGTGTGCTGGTGCCGCTACTTTTAATAACTATTTTTTATATTTTATTGTTCCTTTCCCTCTTTGTTTATTTTTGATTATACTTCGTATCCTGTCATTTGCTGTTTTCCGCCACACAGCTTTTCGCTCTGCTCGCCAGTAGGGATGTGAAAAATATATCAAAATACCAATACATCGATAGTTTTCGGGTGGCTGTCAATCTATCGATAGACGGACGTTGATTTTCCAACACCAGTGTTGCCAGCCCACTATCAGAAACGACTTCTTTCGAAAATCTGCATTTCAATGTTTGAAAATATTGTTTTTTAAATATATAAAACAAAATAATTTCTACCATAAAAATGAAGGCAAATATAGTTTATTTTATGGATCAGGGTTGTCATTTATATATTTATACATTTTATACATTTATAACATCTTTATTATTTTCAAATATAACATTTATAAATTTTTTTTAGAAGCTTTTATTTTTTCGCTACTAGTTACATGTCTGATCTGAACAATGAGCGCCTGATTTAAAGTGACATTAAGCCACTCCGCATTCGAAATTCGAGTATCCTCCCCAAGAACTCAAGTATATGGAAACTAATTTGATTGTGTTTATTCTGCAATTAAGGCCTTTCAAAGGCTTAAGACACTGGCAAGAGGTATCCGGTTACTTTGACTTAAACTATGCGTAAATGCTTGTGTAAGAATGGTCAGAAACAAACTAAATGCTAAGTCATGGAATATTATCAAAAGGGTAAGGATATGCAATTATAGTTAGGAAATATTTTGAGGGTTATCAATATATATCAGTTACATATTTGGATAATTGGAAGTTCTGAAAAAGAAACTAATACTTTAAAAACTAATAAAACTTTTGGCAAGAAAAATTAAGTAATTATAAAGATGTTATATGTATGAAAAGAAATTATTCCACCAGGACAATATCGCCGCAGGTCATGTGCTGCTCCTTGACCTCCAAATCTGGTTGGTCCTTGGAAATCCTAGTGATATAGATGCCAAACCGCATGCGGCCTTGCTGCAGGCGGGATATTGTGGTCAGGGTTTCCGGTGATCGTTCGCCGGTCCTTTGATTAATACATATCATATCACAGCGCTGGCAGGGACCCTCCACCTGAAACCGGAGGCCCCCAATGGTCAGGGCCTTGTAGGCCAGCTCCTCGAAGGCACAGCCCGTATCGATGATGATATTGGCTCGAAAACGATCCACCGTCTCGTCGAGGGGTTCCTCGAACTGAAGAGATCGCACCGAAGATTTGTTCAGCAGCAAGAACTGGGCTTGATTGACCAGACTCAGCTTCTGCCGATCCTTGGAGGAGTTTCTCTGGCCAGATTGCCGGAGCAAACGGATGCCCTCCAGCCCCAGATTTTGACTCAACCACTGGGCAACCTCGTCGCCACAATCCAGACCCTCCACGGGCTGTCGGCACACCTTGCTGACGCATTTCGCCGAGTCGGCTGCCTGATCCTCCAGAGAAAGGGGCACTGAGACAGAGGAGTCGGGTCCAAACTGCAGCTCCAACTGGTCAGCCCTAATCACTGGCCTTATCAGGCACAATTCCGTGCAGCGTTTTTGGGTCAACGCCATGCCATTCATGTCCACAATCATCCATTCCCGGTCATATTTAAGACCCTGATCCGTTAGTGGCCATGAGCCTGGTGATTCGATCTTGAACGCGGCGCAGGACTTCACAGGATATATGGCCATTTGGAGGAGTTTCGGTCTCAGCAGCTGGACTCGCTGCTTCAGCAACGGAGGCAGTTGCTCCGCCTGCTCCTCGATGAACTGAATGCGCTGCTCCAGCTTGGTGGCCAAATAGCTGGAGCGCAGCATCTTGAGCAGCTCCTCCACATCCTGAATGGTGGTCATGTAGCCAAAGGACACACGCACCGCTCCCGTCGGCTTGCCATCGATCAGGTCAAAGTAGTCACCACATATGCGACCCGCTCGCTTGTAAATCGCATCCATGGCATCTTCATCGAGGCCAAGGTAGTACTGACAGGCTCCGATGTTGCAGAAGCATCCGGTACGCAGGAGGATGCCATGCAGTGCGGCCACGCAGGCCATTTCACCGAATCCCACATAAGATCCCGATTCCGTGAGCACATTGAAGGCCACGATCCCACCCTGACGGGATTTATCGAGGTATCCCACTTTATTGTACAGCCGGATGAGGGGCTCGCCATTGGGGTGCTTGAGCTGCTTCAGCTGGTCCTCCAGGTACTTGGCCAGGCCAAAGACGTGCCTGCAAATGGGAGTTTTTACTGAGCACATAATGTTGATCTTGGATTACCCACCTAGAAATCCTCTCCATGGTGCCGAACTCCCCCGTTTTGGGAACCAGTCGCTTTAGAGTACGAAACCCCTCGAGCAATCCAACAATGGAGAGAAAAGGCAGGGTGCCATCCTCGTAGCGCTGGTGGAAGGTCTCCCTGAGCTGATGGTCCATGGCATGGGGATATGCAAAGTTTATGGTGCCGCCGCCAAAGAAACGACGCTTCCCGAAGGCCTCGGCTCCTCGTCGACTCACCAGCAAGGCTCCCACGCCCGTGGGATAACCGAAGATCTTGTAGAAACTGAGGCACACATAGTCGGGATGGTATTTTTGCAGATCCAAAGGGCTGGTGGCCACGAAAGAGGCGGCATCCAGGCAGATATAGTAATCGTTGTGGGTGTTATCCTTCTTCTCGTCCACAGAGCCCCAGATTTGTTTGCCCGCCTTGGCCAGACCATCGTTTTGGATTTTCCGTATGGCATCTAGGGGGATTTTGTAGCCACTAAAGTTGCATTGGGCAGAAAAGGTAACCAGGGAGTTTCCCGTTTTCCTGGATCCCTCCTGAACCATTTTTCCGTTCTGCTTGGCCAATTCGCCAGAGATTTCATCTTCCTTCAGCATGTATATACCATTTGCCTGGACCCTTTCGCGCATCCCCAACACCGAGGTGTGATTCTCCTGGCAGAAGTGAAAGTCTCCCGATGATCCGAAGTCAAAGTTATCCGCCACCAGGGACAGGGCAGCGGTGGCATTCGCCGTGAAGATCACATGGTAATCCTCGGCGGTGGTGTTGAAGAATTCCAGCACCCTGAAATATGTAGTTAAAACGATAAGTTTTAATAAAAGCTTTGCTTATATCTTTGCATATACTGTATATATACTACACTATACTTACAAAATGTATGGTCGTTAAAAATTATCCTTATATTTTTTGTAGGCTTTTAAAAACGTCATATAGTACTAAACTTAGCTTATAGGTCGGAATTTAAGTTGATTGGATTTCTTGATATCATGTAACTTTTATAATTGTCAAAATAACCTTTGTAAGATTTCTTTAATAGTTTTTTTTTTCATTAGTCATAGTAAGATATATTCAAAAGTTTTTTTTACCATTAGTCATTGTTAGACATGTTGCATTTGCGTGAAACAATTAATTAACGTTATAAATAGAGCAGAAAACATGTTTTTGTTAGGATTGTTATTTGGCTGGGCCTATAAACCTGATTGCTTATTTTGTGTAGAAGGTTAGGGAACAAAAAAGTATGGAGATGGAGATTTGGTAGCTTTAATGTCAATGAAGAATTAATTATTATAGAATGTTTTTTGAAAGAGCTTCCATAAAGATTTTATTTTAATATGCTTTTTTTTAGTAGAGCTTCCATAAGATGTTCTGAATATTAGCTTGAGTTTTGTACTTATAATAGGAATTTATAAAATATTTTTATGGAGGAGCTTTTATAAAGAATTTATTTTAATAGATTTTTTAATAGAGCTCAATAAAAAGTTTTTACATAGCTCAACTTTTTTGTTTATAATAGAATTTTATAACGATTTCTTTTGAACTATATTCTATATCTGTAGTTTATAAGCCCCCCGCAAGGGCAACCCAATGACAGTTGATGGTTTTTGAATATGATGGTACCAAGTTTTCCGGACACGCTTGAACTCACTTGAATCGCACCTGGTCCACGAAGTCGCCGGTGATGAGGCAGGTGTGCGGATTGCAGATGACATTCCGCTGCAGTTGCTCTGCGGCGGCTTTCACCTGGTTCTCGGCATAGAGAGTGGTGCCTGCATGATCCAGGTAAACACTCTTGTTCTCTATTTGGTGGGGTGGGCAGGTAGTTAGTTCCGTTATCTATTTACCGGGCGTATTTCACCATGATTCCGCACTTACTGGCCAATCTAGAGAATTCCGCGTCGATGGTCGACTGCTCCGATGGGGAGAACTCCGAGCGATATAGCGACATGTTGGGAACTGTTGGAGTCGGTTGGGAATCGGGCTTTATTTATTTGTGACCGGCCACCCATTTGTTGCGCCATACTCTGTTCAAGAAAAAACATTAGATAGTATACATGGGCTATCAGGTTCGTTTGGCCAACAGATGTTATATGGGGTATTATTTCACATTTGTTCCAGACTGACTTTTCCCTCTTTTTTGTGGTGTGTGCTGACTATTAAAGTGTCTTTATAATACCTTCTTATGTACTTAAATATATTAAAATACATACATAATTGTTCATATATTTTTTGTTTTGATAACAATACCATTATTTTATATGGCTTAGTTTTATAATAATGCAAAGTAACTTACTTTATTTTATTTAAATACTTCACGTTTTAATGCCAATAATATAACTTTTATTTTGATTATTTTTCAAATATAAATATTATTTAATTTTCTATGAAATTAATGCCTAACCTTAAAAAATAAAAGGGTATTCCCTAGTTGTCATGCACATTTCCAGTTTTTGTCAAACATATGTTCACAGCTGTTTGCTTATCGATATCGATTGCGGCCGATAACAGCCTGCGTTGAAATTTTAAAGTTTTTCCCTTACAATTTCACAATTGCAATAATTTAACCAATTGATTGACTGCAAAATGGAGAAGTTCGTGCGGGACACGCTGTCCAAGTGCCTAGACTGCGTGGTCACGGACCAAATGATGGCGTAGGTACTTGATATCTCCAGATACCTCCGTTTCTCACCGGGCGAATCTCTTGCAGCGCCATTCTGAGCATCAAGGATGACTACGAGTTCGACAGCTACTTTGGCAATCTGCTGAGCGAGGACGACGAGGAGCACCGCATGTTCCTGCTAAACTGCCGCCGGATGCTCCTGAGTGGCAAGCAGCCCAGGAACAATGGCAAGAGTCGCACGCCCACCAAACAACTGCCGCCCACATCGTCGCCAAAGGTCCAGCAGTCAAATCCCGGCCAGGGGGCCAAGGGCAAGTCGGGGAAGTATTTGAATCTCTATGCCAGCGATGGCCGGGTTCAGGGCGACACCATACTGCTGAAGGGCCGCAGGCACTGCGACTGCCAGGCGGCCCAGCACAAGCTGATCAACAATTGCCTCGGATGCGGGAGGATTGTCTGCGAGCAGGAGGGCAGTGGTCCCTGCCTGTGCTGCGGCGATCCCGTCCACACGCCCGAGGAGGAGCAGCAGCTGGCCAAGGCTGTCAGGGAGAAGGGCGGCTCAAAGGCCTCGGCCTCGGCCTCCAAGCAGGGCAAGAAGAACACCAAGGAGGCGCTGGACAAGGCCCTGGCCCAAAGGGATCGCCTCCTGGAGTACGACAAGAACAGCGAGAAGAGGACCACGGTCATAGACGACGAGTTGGACTACTTCCAGGTGGGTTTGACACCAAAAATTATGCAATTTTGATGGAGAAACTCAATGAAATATTATTTCTGCAGGAAAACTCGGTTTGGCTGAGCGATGTGGAGCGCGAGAAGTTCGAGAAGCTGAAGAGCGAGATGCAGGACATGAAGCACGGCAGTCGTCTGAAGCGCAAGATCCGCGTGGACTTTGCTGGCCGGGAGTTGCCGGAGGAGCCGACCATTTCCAAGGAATACGAGCAGCAGGTGATCAGCGAACTGGCGGCCGTGTCCAAATCCTCGGGTGGCGGATCCAACTGGAGTGCAAACTCGATCACGGGGCACTCCGCCATGTCGCTGGCACCCAACTTGGACATGGCCAAGCCGCCGGTCTACAAGCCCAGCAAAGAGTCCAAGACGTGGCCAGCTCCCGCGGCAGCCAGCGATGGGCTGGAGAGGATCTACAATCGGGTGCAGGACAAGGAGCTGCTGGAAATGCAGGACATGCGCCAGTGCCTGTCGATGCACCAGCCCTGGGCTTCCCTGCTCGTGGCGGGCATTAAAAAGTGGGTTTCCGTAAAAGTCTTGTCCTAGTCTTCCTACATTTCATAATACCTTTTCAACAGGCACGAGGGACGCGTCTGGTACAGTGAGCATCGTGGCAGATTGTGGATAGCTTCCACCTCCAAGGAACCGCACGCCGACGACATTGCCCAAATGGAGGGCTTTTACAAGGTGCTTTATGGCGGTAGGTCTGGAATTTAACATCTTAAAAATCTTAAGTTAATCTTTTAATGTTATTTCCAGATCCGGATATCAAATTCCCCAGTCATTATCCCACCAGCAGTCTGCTGGGCTGCATCCACGTGGACAGTTGCCTGCCACAGGAGGAGTACAGGGAGGTATTTCCCAACGGAGAATCCGAGAGTCCTTATGTCTTTGTCTGCACCAAGCCAGAGCAGCTGAACATTCTGCTTCCCGTTCAGGGCGATCACAAGATATGTGAGTAGCTTAAGGAATATTTGTTTAAATGTCCTGTATTAACCTTCCATAATTTTTAGATGAACTACCGCTAAAGACTCACATGGCCGCCTGCAAGACGTTGCTTAGAGCCAGGGCCAACAAGGGTTAAGGTTAAGGATCATTTTCAAATACATTCTTATTCACTGAATGCCAGAAATGCATTGTGAAGGTTCTGTTTTTTTTTTGAAAACTAGAAAAATTATAAATTGCCAGAGTTTCTCAGAAAATAAATTGAAATAGATGGATTATTTTCTTATAGTTGTGAGGAATAAACTGGATATATTATATAACAAAAATGAAATATTTGTTTGTGAACTCAACTTTTAATTTAAATATATATTTTTCAAAGTGTAACGATAGTTTTACAATGCTAAAACGATAGCGATAATTTTGAGACAGCTGTTCTTGATTTTTTATGCAATGGTGAAAGTGGAGGTGGAATACTGGTAAGGCAATCCGTTTCTAGTTTCCCAAGAATAAATTAATAATAGTATTTTACCATCCTCAAGTGGCGTCTGCAACTTCAGCGGGCAGTGCCGCCTGCTGCGCGAGTTCCTGCTGGCCTCGTCCCCCGATTTGGAGGTGTCCTGCCGCCAAGGACGCCGAGGATCCTTCGAGGTGGCCATCGACGGGCAGCTGGTGCACTCTAAGCTCTCCTGCTTGGCATTTCCACAGCATGCCAGTGTCCTGGCCCAGGTTCAAAAGGCGCAGCGCGGAGAGCCAGTGGAAAAGGTCCTGGAGCAGCCCATCAAGGACTGCAGCGTTATGTGATGGCTCCAAGAATATTTAGTTAGCCCTAGTTTATTCAGATATGTTAAATTTAAGGTTGTACCAAAGACAATGTTAGAACATCCATCCCTTACGATAACCTGTGATATAAGGCTTTTCGAGTTCATTTATATAGAAGGGCATTATATTTCCTTGATGATACTTTAAGGAATTTAAAACAGAAGGATTCTTAAGCCAAAGCAGTAACTTTAAGCATGAGGAGTTGAAAGTAAGGATCCTTAAATCATATTAAACGAGATACAAAGACTTCTGTTCTTACATTTTATTTTGGACATAACATAAGGGCTATAAAAAAAGGGGATCCAGAAGGTAAAGCGCAATTCACCGCCTGTAGCGATATCGCTTGAAGTGGAACCACAGCTGAAAGATGTTGTTGTGGAACTGGCAGCGGAATCCCCGCTTGTAGCTAAACTCCCACTCCCGGTTGACGATCTTGAAGGCGATGTCCTCGTACGGCGGTCCCGTGTGGAAGCGCAGCACGGCAAAGTCGCCGTTGTCCGCACAGGGGGTGAGGAAGTACTGCGGCGTCTGCGACTTGTCCATGAGGTCCGGATAGAATATGTTGAACTTGTACCCCTGCACGATCTTGGGCGGCGGATTGTCCATGTCGTAGTGCGTCTGGTTGTACTTGTTCCACTCGAAGCCGGTGTGCACGCGATTGAAGTAGCGCGGCTTGCGCGGTCGGTACTTGTCGGTGGCCAGCTGAGGCACTGCGTCCAGGGTGGTCTCGACACTGAACTCGGCCTCGTCGCCCTGCATTCCCTGCCTGGCCTCGTTGCGCATTCGAAGCTCCTGCGGCGTCAGGTGATTGGTGTCCACGCGCTCGGGGTGAAGGATCAGCAGACGCTGCCTCTGAGTACGCCGCTCATCGTCCTCCTCCTCGTAGAGGGCTCCCTCTCCCTCCGGCTCGTCGTCGTCTTCGTTTTGCACTCGCCTGCCGGTGAAATCCTCCTCGCGTATGTAGCGTGGACTGTAGTTTCCCGCCTGGTATAGGCGCACTGCATCGCGCAACTCTTTGAGGGGATCCTCCTCGTCCTTGGGCGAGCCCTCGCCGTCCTCCGGATCCTCTGTTTCCTGCGTTTCCATCTCCTCCTCCTTGACTTGCGGCGCCACCTCCTCCTGGGTCCCCTCGTCGTCGTTCTCCCGCTTGAGCAGCAGCAGCTTTTCGCGCAACAGGGCCTGATGACGATCTCGCAGTCGAGCTCTGGCCATGTGCGCCTTCAGCTGCGACAGCAGACTCTCCCAGTAGCTGATGTCCACGCCATCCGCCCGTCCGCTGATCTTCGCCTCAATGCGCTGCCGCATCTCCTCCAGCTGCTGGGCGTTCTTGCCCCTAAAGATGTCCGCCACATCCTTGACCACCGCCTGGTGGATGCCATCGCGGCGCTGGTTGAGTGATGTGTTCTCCGCCTGCAGCTTTTGTTGCCGCTGCAGTTCGTCCTGCACAATGGTGATCATGTCATTCCAGAAATCAATGTGCTTGCCCTGCTCCAGCTCTTCGTAGACCTTTATGTCGACCAACAGATCCTCCAGTTCCTCCATGGGCAGGCCGTTGAGCAGGACATAGGGCTCGTGCATCTGCATCTCGAGGGACTCCTCGAGCGGCGCGTTCCCGGCGGCCACATATTGCGCCAGGAGATCGATGGGCTTGGCCCGGCCATCGCGGATGCGAATCTCGCTGCGCAGGCGAGCCTGTTCCAGGTGAAACTGGTCCTCCTGGCGCTGCCACTCGCGGAACTGCACCGCCTCCTTGGCGCGCTGCTGCATCATGAGATCGTCCTCGCGCACCTGTCGCTCCAGTTCCCTCTCCTGCCGCCGCTTCTTGACCTTTTCCAGCTCGCGGCGGTTTTCCAGCTGCTTCTGCAGGGACAGAACCTCCACGGTTTTGGTGGACAGATTGGACAGGCCCTCCACCTCGAGCTTCTTGCCCCAGTGGAATGTGGAGGTGAGATTGGAGTCGCCGAAGGGGTTGTCCTCGTTGGAGTACGTCTGGTACTCGTTGTCCCAGCCCATTCGCTCGCGCCGCCGCTGCTCCTTGGCCTGCTTCTCGCGCAGCCGGCGGGCGCGCTTCTCCTCGGGCGTTTCCTGGGCCTTCAGCTCGTCCTTCTTCCGTTGGCGGTCCTTCTGCTCGACCAGGCGACGGGCTTCCAGGGTTTGGAGCAGCTTCATCGAGCTCTTGGCCAGCGGCGAACGGGGGCCTCCAGGCGCCGAGTTGTCCGAGGAACTGGATGAGGAGGAGCTCGAGGAGGACCGGTGCCTCCGGCTCTTGTGCTCCTTGCTCTTGGTGTCCCTGCCCTTGTCCTTTTCCTTGCGATCCCGCTTGTGGTCCCTGCGATCCCGCTCCTTTTCCCGCTCACGATCGCGATCCCGCTCTCGATCCCTGTTCCTGCTGCTCTTCGCATCCGGACTGCGATGATCCCGCCTGTCGCGACTGCGACTGCGATGTCGGGACTTGGACTTCTCCTTGGGCATCCTTTTTGCTGGAAAATCTGGTAAACTTGTGAAATGAAACAAAACACAACGCAGTCGGACGGCGGTTATCGATAGACAGTCATCAAGGGTATTCCTCTCTCTAAAACCCTTCAAATATATAATTCGAAATTTCGAAATATATTAATAATAAGGGAACCTACCATTAACTAGGCATGTTTTGAAAGCAATCACACTTTTTTATATTTTTATAGATCTTAAATTTAAAAATTAGATCGGACTGCTAGGAGATGGAAGTTTTGTTTTTTAAATCGTTTGACCTGACGCAGCGCACTTCATGTTCGTTTTTCTCGAAACCACTTTTTGAAACCGTATCGTATCATTAGTTTTTTTTATTTATAAGAACATGGTGGATTTTTTGGAGAGTACGATAAGAAAGAAAGAGAAAATCTGAAAGCTATGAAAATCACCCTTTTTAATATTCTGATTAAATGGTATTGTTACCTTAACCCAATAATAGCCCTAATAAAAACGGTGCTGCCATACCTTTAAAATCCGATAACAAATCGATTTTTGTTGCATCGCCGTTTCGCCACCTCTAGCGTGGATGCCTGTTTATTTAGTCGGAAACTCAAAAACTCAAAAACCGTGAACCCATCCGAATTGAACGCGATTTTTGAGGACGCCTCGATGGTTCGACAGCTAAGCTGCAGATCGCCGTTCGATTTGTCCGAAACCCAGAAAAAGTGACAGGTGAAAGGCGACGGCGACCCCCTCGGCGGACTGCCCCTCTCGCTCGCACAGACAGCTCCTCCTGCGAGGGCAACAACAAAATCGCCAGGAGGAAGCGGCCGATGTGCGAGCGGGATGGCTGTTTTGGGGGGAGAATGGAGAGGAAAGCAGGAGAAAAAAATCCAAATCAAAATCAAAAGATTCAGATTCATCCCTTTCTTTCTGATTTCTCTCCCTGCCTTCATCTCCTTTCTCCCATTCTCCCCCATCAGCTGTGTTTCTCATTTCCCCACCGTTCTGTATTTTTGTTGTTGTTTGTGACTGTGTTTTTTTTTCTTACGGTTGTTTGGCCAGCTAACGGTATTCCGTAATAAATGTTATTGTTGTCAGCCCGTTTTTTGTTGTTGCAAAATATTGCGTGCTCCTCTCCGCCCCTCTCTCTATCGCTCTCTCTCCCGTCTCTTTCTGGCTTGCAGTTTATGCATCGCCACGAAATCGTGATTTATTCTAGATCTCGAAAGTGATAAAAAACACACTGCAAAAAGTGCGAATTTAAGTGTCAAAATGTGCCGATGAATAAATACAAATGTTGACTTGAAAGCGAATGTTAAAAAATCATAATTTGAATACTCAGTAATTACCCAAGTGAAGTGCTTAAAATAAAAGCTAAAACTAAACAAAATGAACTAACTTGAAATGGAGCTTCAAAAATGTGTCTATGAATAAATAGTACAACTGTAGTCTCCTAAGAAATTCATGGTGATTCACAAAACATAAAGTACAGCATTGTTATCAACATAAATGAGAAAAATTTACATAATTTGTAAACTCTTTAGAGAATTTTTGCTGATTAATCTACAATAAATAAAAAATTTAAGTAAAATTAAACAAACAAAACAAGGGCTTCAAAAGTCCACTATACAGAAACCATAATAATGAAATTTGCGAATCCTTGAAAAAATTTAAAACTTTTGAATTGTAAACATCAAATGTAAAAACTTAGAGAGATTAAGTGTATTTGTGGCAAATACACACAATTTTGAAATAAAGTGAGAAATAACAGTGCAAAATCACGATTTTCGCAATGCCTCGCATGAACGCGTGTCTGTGTGTTTGCCACGTTGTTTGAGTGAGTGTGTGTGTGCTGCCGCTCTTCTTTTGCCACGCAGCGACATCGCCTCGAATTCGAATTACCTTTGTTTTTTTTGTTGGCATTTTGTCCATGTTTTTTGTTGCTGCATTTCGTTTTCGTTTCGTGTTCCTTTTTTGGGCGTATATGTGTGTGTGAAAAACAGCCAAAAATAGCCAGTAATAACAATAACAATGCACTGTCATTAAAAGAGGGAGAGAGTCTTTGAAGAGAGAGCGGAAAAAGAGAGAGCCGGCTAAAAAATGAAACAGCTGAGTGTATCCTGTTAATGATTTTAATTAAGAGTGAAATATTAAAAGCGAGATTACAATGCTTACAAATTTTAAATAAAAAAATAAATACATTTTTAAAACTTAAAAAAGCACAAAATTCAAATATTACCTCTAAAAAAACTATAAAAAACACCTTAATCAACGCTGAATTTTCCCATTAACTAGAAATAAGAAAACAAAAAGCAAACAGAAAACCTTAAATGCCCCAAAAGACTACCGTGAAACAATAATCCAAATCAATCAAGTATAATTTAAAGACACGCAAAAACAAAAATTCACCATGTATCGCATCAGTCCAATTGGACGAAAATCAAACTTCCACTCGCGCGAGAAATGTCTGATTGGACTCGTCCTGGTAACGCTGTGCTTCCTCTGCTTCGGCGGCATCTTCCTGCTGCCGGATAACTTCGGCAGCGACCGCGTCCTGCGCGTCTACAAGCACTTCCAGAAGGCCGGGCCGGAG